TCAGGATCTCTTATATCGGGACTCTTATTTTGGATTATCCAACCTACCTTGAAACCCCTAAACCCTCAACCCTGAACCCAGAAACCCTAAACCCCTAAACCCCTAAGCCCCTAAACCCCTAAACTCTCAAACCCCTAAACCCTAAAGCCTAAAGCCGTCTTTCCTTGAGGCCCTGAAGTTCTGGGTCAACCTAGCCTTGAGGCCTAAACTCAAGGGACTAAAGGAGGGACCCTTAAAGGGAGGGTTTAGGGCTAGGACCCTTGGGGTTATATAGGGGCTTTATGGGACTCTACAAGAGGTATATAAGGGTTATATAGGGTATTAGGATTAGGGGTTTCTTCTAGGGGTCCCTCTTATTGTCCCTTGATAAACCCTCATTATTTTGAGGAGGCTTGATTAATCTCTGGACTACACAACCCAGGCGAGGGAGTTCAAAGGACACCACAAACACTAAACCCTATCTTTGCTGTAGGGTTCTTATAAGGATACCATAAGAAGGGTGTTACTACATAGGTTACGACAATAAGGGCACTATAAGGGGTTTAGGGTTCCGGGTCAGCATCCCGGGCTTAGAGGTTTATCGGTACCTGCTGGTGTCGAAATCGATGCTTTATCACGGTGCAGTCTTCAGGCATGTACCCTCTTCAGTGAGAACTGGGACTTGCTACCTGAGAGGCTTCATCTCGGAGTTTCGGCACGTAAGGGACCCTGAATGTAGACCCAATGTGCTGTAGTAGGATGCTTGGCAGAAGGACACCCAAGGAGGGACTCCCAATTTCAAGGCAGACCGATCTGCAGGTAAAGCCGGGGGAGCATAAGAAACTTTGCTCAGTGCATGCAGGGGGATCTATCGATGCTGCAGGCGGATTCGGGACATCCGCACGCAAAGTTTCGTGGTTGGTGTTTCAGGCTTTCAGTTTTTTTGCAGGCGTTTGTCTACAGCAGTGAACTACAGGCTTTGCAGGCACGGGCATGCCACTGCTGAGGTTATCAACGCATCCTGAACTGATGGAGCCCACACCCATTAGTAGCGCTCTAGCCTGGCCTCCCTATCAGGGCGTGAAGTACCAGGATCTCCCCCAAGTTCGCTGTGAGAGTACATCTGTCATGGTCCTTGCTGACCCTGAAGTTTATGGTGAGTCATTGGTTATGATGGAGGTTAGTTGCGACTTGGCCGGACTAGGTAGGGTTTGGGAGTTTAGGGTTTTAGGGTTGTCTTGGGTTTGTGGCTTCAGGGTTTTCGACTCTGGAGGTTCCGGGCTGTACGGTTGTTGCCTTAGGGCTTTTGGGTTTTTTCGTTTTAGTTTTTGGAGGTTCTGGGCTGTACGCCGCTGTGAGGATAAACAGGGACTTTAGTCATATCCTCCAAAAACCGCTGAAGAGGTGCGCCAACAAGTATTCCTATGTTGCTACGGATTTGAGGTTCGGGCCGCTGATGATAATGGGCAGCTTGAGTCGAACACCGATGCAGAAGCTTCGCCACGGCGCTGCACACCTTGGCTTAGTGCACGCTTCACGAGCCATTGGAACCCTTCAGCCCTGAAGCTCACCTCCGTTGGCCTTAAATCCCTAAACCCTAAACCCTAAATCCTTAATGCTGCCAGGCCCCGACCCGACAGACGCCTTCCTGCAGCTGGTGGATCGAGCGAAGACACTACTGGCACTCCTCAGGTGGCACGTCACCCTTTGATTACGGTTTCAGGATTTCTGGACCTTAAACCATAGGGTTTAGATGTCCGGACGAAGTATTCGCGATGTAGGGGAGCAATCCCAGGCACAAGGGGGCACGTCAGACGAGGTTTTCTGGGCTCCTTGACAGAGAAAGAACCGTTTAGATAGGGTTCACAGCAAAGGTTTCGAGGTTCAGTAGGTCCAGGGGCGTTCAGTGTTGTCAGTCTACTTGGAGGATCATGGGACTTGGTAAGTAAGCTTAGAACTACCTTAATTGGGGTTATAATTACTTATAAGTATAGTTACCTTATTTATAACCCGAGTTACTACGTCCCCAGATCCTCCAAGTAGGTTTCATTGCCAGGCTAAGTCGTAGCCTGCTGCAACTTCGGCACGGCGTAGGTCGAGGCTCCCCGAGCATGATGTTGGGCTCAACGTTTTGTTGCCTATTTAGGGTTTAAAGTTGAGAATTTCGGAGCCCTAAACCCTAAACCGATAAGGTCTAAGAGACGGAAGTTTCAGGGTTCTCCCCAAACCATTAGCAGCCCCGCCCGAACACGACAACAGTCGGTGGTGTACCTGTACCGTGCCGGCAAATGCCGCGCTTTATCTGTGTGTATTTTCCATTTTTGTTGGATCGGGCATTTGGCTGAAAGCTGTGCGAATAAATACATAGTTCGGTTCCGCGTTTGTCTTCAGATTCCGGTCACAAAGGAAGATGGGTGAGGGGGGCTTACGCGGTACTTCTAGCTATTTTTGCCAGGCCGTTGCAAAGGAACGCTGTTTCTCCGGTACCTTTTACATGCGGCTGTGCCTTGTCATATGCTGGCATCGTTTGCTGCGCCCGCGCATTCTTCACATGGGACGTGCTTGGTCCAATCTCCACATTGGCCCCAAAAGGAGCAGTAGCTTGTTTTTGTTGCACGGTCCTCCGCTAACAAGCTCGGCGGCTACATGGCTGTCCATCGGGCGAATTCCCACAGTACGACCAAGGTCCCGTCCAAGAGTCGTCCAAATCGTTAAGGATAGTAGCGTCGTAGATTGCTGGCCTCTTCGGAGTCAGGCTGTTCAGTGGTAACCCTGGGCCCAAAAACACGAAAACTGCTTCGTGATTCAGGTTCGTGCTTAGGGCTTTAAGCGCTACCAGTAGAATGCCGGCTGTTTGCAGGCAAGGCCTCATCGTCAAGGGGAACTCCATTATCGGTGCTTCTGTAGCACACGCGATGGATCATATGCACGACGACGCTCGGCAAAAAGATGCAATTCGTTTGATCGTGGCCGTAATGATAACGGAAGGGCAGCTGCAAAGGCAGCAGGTAGTTAAAAGGCAGCATGTAGTTACAGTAGTAGTTCTAGGGGCAGAGAGACCAGCAGCAATAGTATCACTCGTAGTGACAGCAATCGCCAAAACATCGCCCAGAGTGCAGCGACAAATAAGAGAAGCGACAATATAACGAGAGTAGCTGTCGTAGCATACACCCCATACAGATATAATGTGTAGTGTATATATATATATAATATATACACACACATAAGATCACATAAGTGTGCATATATATATATATGCATATACGACTCACCTTACACGGTCTTTATGGGCTTGGTTAACAAGGGCAGAGTACTGGAAATCCGTGGGGAACGGTAGGCCAGCTCAAGCTCAGGGAGTACTGGGGAGAGTTGGGACTACTGTAGGGGCCTTCATAATTGCCTATACTATTTTTGGGGGCTGGGGTAAATTATTCTATAATACGAATAATTGTTATTATAGTATAATATACCCCAAAACCCTTTTCTGATTATTAAGGCCCCGATATTGCGAAGTCATACACCTCCTTGAAGGCCTCTCTTTGAGGATACCATCATCAAGAGCCAGCATGTGTACTATGGATGCTTGCATGTAGAGAGAGAGACAGAGAGAGAGAGAGAGAGACAGAGAAACAGAGAGAGAGAGAGAGACAGAGAGAGAGAGAGAGAGAGAGAGAGCGGGCGAGGGAGAGGGAGGTTTGAGCTGGTTTTTGCTTTGCTCCTCATTCGATGAGTGCATGCTCAGACCACCCTCGGGCCCTTTGCGAAATATCTGACACCCGGAACTCGACAGCGGGAGCTAATATAGCAATCGCCCATGACCAGACCTAAACCCTTCGGGACTCCTAAACCCTGAACCCCGTCAACCCCTCAACCCCTAAACCCCTAAACCCTAAACCCTACCATGGAGGCTTTGTCGAAGCCTGAGTTCGGCATACCCTGGCTGACAGGAGGAGCAGTGGAAGCTGGGATTTCGGGGGTTTAGGGTTTAGGGTTTAGGGTTTAGGCTTGTATAGGATGTTTGTAGGTGTCCCGCAGGGCGATACAAGGGCTCAACCGGTCTTCGATGACGATTCGTGGTTGAAGGGCTGCGGGCTTCGGGCGAGAAGTTTCAGGGCTGGTGCTTCGAGCTTCGAAGTCATGGGGTTGGTGCTTCCTGAGTCGGCGTATCTAGAGGTCAGGCTTGAGGGTTTAGGGCTTTTTCGGGTTTAGGGTTCAGGGTTCTTGGCTTTTGAGGGTTTAGCGTTCAGGGAAGATGGTTTATGGTTTATACGGTATAGGTCCCCTGGCCTCAGAAATTTGCATTACGTGCTTGTGATCTGTGTAATTATTCCGCTGCTGATAGATATTATGGGCAACTGCAAAGGAGCTATGCAACGCAGGGTAGACCAGAACGTAGACAGCGGCCAGCTTCAGAATCCCTGAACCCCAAATCCTATGTCCAAGCCGCAAACCCGACCCATCATCAAGTCTGGGATAAGTGGATAAGCCTTGCCCTCAACACAAGCTCCTCCCTTGTCTTTTCCTATATCCCCAGCCCTCGGTTTCTGGTTGCCTCAACTCCGCAACCCTGGAAGCCTCAGCTCAACAAGAGTTTGTAAGTCCTCTGGAATCTGAACCCACTGGCTACACGATGGATTCGAGGAGCGCCGCGGCTGTGTCCGGCCTCAATGTTTAATTGAAGTGAGTGTTTCCCACATAAGAGATACAGGGCTCCCTTTACACTTTCTCAGGGTCTGGTTTTACAGGGGGATGGTTCTGGTTGTTGAGGTGATAGTGCTCGTCGTGGAGATGGTGACAGCAGCGATGTCGATAGTGATAGCAGGCATGCTACTGATGCTTGCGTTCATGGCGTGGTTGAATTTGTCTTTCTTGCTCATGTTGTTGCTGGTATATACTTGTACACACATGCATACATACCTACATACATACAAGCATATGCAAATACACAGGTAACACAGCTTGAATCCAAACGTCTTCGAGACAAGGATGCCAGGATGAAAAAGACGAGAACTTGTTTAACATGTCTGCCACACGTTGCTTGGTTTGATTCGCAATGTCATGGGCACGTCTCTCATGTTGCAGTATGCAGCAAATCTTGCACCTCTGTAGTGGCACAGAGCAAGATGGCTGTCCGCTTTCAAAAGTGTCAGCCTGCGAATGTCAACAAGCAAGTGCAGTGCACAAGTGTCTTTATCATCGCAGACACGGAGCATCGGATGCATCATAAACCGAGCTTTAGGTAAAGACGGCATCGAATGCAGCGTGCCCATATGCATCAGACAGGAAATCTCTGCATGCACATCAGAATGAGTTGAAGACCGGATGGCTCATACACATGCGGTCAGTTTTTCAACTACCTTGACCAACTGCTAACCGATGCCCTATTCGCTGTACCTTCGTGCTCTGGTCTGGTAGCTATCAAAACACACCCGTCCTAACCCTGACCCGTACCGCGCAGCCCGAGTGCAACATGCATGGAAGAGACTCCACAAATTGTCAAAAAGCTCGCTCAAGATGCCCTATGAGACGAAACTCTGTGATAGGAAGAAGCCCTAAATAGAGTCCCTGAGTAACCCTGGGTCCGCGAAAGGTTACTGCCCCACTGCGGACCCGCCGACTTCAACCAAGGGCAAAGCTTCGAAGGTGTTCTGTTTCATGTCGGTTAGGATCTAAGGCTTTAACCCTAACCCTCCAGCTACCTACTATATAGGGCCCCAGGGGCTCTAGTACCCTATATAGTAGGCACCTGTGGGGTCAGGGTAAGGTATACCCGATAGGGTTGAGGGGCTGGCTTTTTCGTTTTGGGGTTTAAGGCTCTGTGGTTCTGGAGCATCTCTTGGGTCGGGTCTTGATGTGAGGCCTGGGTTTAACTGCAGAAGCATGCGGAACAAGGGGTAGTTTGACTTTATAACCCCCAAACCCCTAAACCCTAAATCCTATAACCCCTCAACCCCGACACTGGAAGCGGAGATAGAGAGCACAGGCATCCTAAAAGTCCTGGAAAACTTTGGCTGTTTGTGTATTCTCGTAACGGGTATGTTTCTGTCTTTGCCTTTGTTTTTTAGGGTTTAGGGTTTTACAGACAAGAAGCATCGTTGATCTGTGACAGAGCTGCACCGTCTGTTTGTTCCACGTGAGTCTGAATTGTGTGGTATAGTAACTCGTCGGTACCGGGGTCGTCGTCGTCGTCGTAGAAATCGTTGTCGTGGGAGTTCCGTCATACCACTTCTAAATCAGCGCCAATCTCGCTAGCAAGGAGCCGTTCGAACAAGTAACAACATCGGCGTAGTAGACCAGCTGACGAGCTGACATGCACTACCAACAATCACATCATCATCGTCATCATCATCATCATAATCATCAGCATCATCATCATCATTGTCATCATCACCAGTATGAATCTGTTCACTGCATTCCTACCTTCGTCGCTCATTTGCACATTGCTAGTAGTGTGACAGTTCCGAGATCTGTTGTGATCCTCCTTGTTGCTGCATCCTTCGTGTTTTTTCTCTGAGTATTCTTTTATACTAGTATTATTTATTGCATGTTCTCTGTAATTCAGTGATTGTTGCTCCTGGGTGTGTTTTGTTGACGATTCTGGTCGCCATGATCATCGTCGTCATCATCATCATCATCCACAGGAGTTGAAAGGTTTACCCTGGGATCCTTATACACCCGAAAGACCTAAGGGTCCCTATGAGGGGCCCAGAAATCTAACCTTTGAGGAGTGGTGCGGCCCCAGCAGCCTCTTCACTGGCTGGCACGACTTCTGTCACGGCCTTGTTTTTTGGGGGAAATAAGGGATGTGGGTTTAAGGTAGAATGGAAGGACTACGGGGCTTAGTAGCTTGCTATCCGCAGCTACAGCCCTACCTGAACAGGGTTACTCTGCTTTATAACTCTGACCTTAAACCCTAAGCCCTAACCCTACACATGTCTCAAAATCTACTTACGGAATTTTGTGGCGCTTCAAGTCAAGGGGGCCCTTTCAGTTCAAATCAGGTTTAGAACAGTAAACCAGGCTTTCTATTACTGCTTAAGAACCAACAGGGTTTTGGGCTGCCGGGCTTGGGATGTAGCCTTTTGGGGGTTCAGGCTGCAGCGTGGGATCAGGATCAGAGCCGTTTCTCTTCGAATCCCTGAACCAACCCTGAGAAGCCCTGTTAAACCCTTGAGAAGCAGTACATCTTTGCCTGTGTTTTTGAGACACAGAGTGTGAGCATAATTAGCACGATGATTAGAGACTTCGTAACGGTCTTGACAGTCACTACAGTCTCCTCAGTAGTCGCCAGTGATCGACTCTTCCGCCAATCAATGTGATGATGACGGCATGCATACCAAGCAAGGTCTGGCAACAGTTTGGGCCAGAAAGTGTGAGAACGCTGAAGCCAAATGCAATATAGTGTAAGGCGTCTTTTTCCTAGGGCTTACTATCGAGATGAGGGGGGTTTGTGCATCCAGATGGGGTTTGTGAGGTTCAGGCAGCCAGGCTTGGAGAATAGATTAGACTTGAGGGCTGCATTTGGGGTGTGACGATTGGAAATACTGTCCTGTCTGGGTCAGCAGCTACAGAAGAAGATACCCAAACCCGACTCTCATTAGCGTTGAGGCACGTAAAGTCATGGAACCCAGCAAATCTCCATAAGCAAAGGCAATTCCATACAGACTCTTTAAGAAAAATCCTATACAGCCCGTATAAAACCATAAAGACGATTGTCGAAAACCTGCAGACTTGTAGAGTCTTATGAAACCCAACAGTAGTGCAAACTTTCAGTCCCCGTTACAATTGTACTACCCCCAAACCCTGTTCTAGTTATAAAGGCCCCGGAAGCCCTAGCGATCCCTCATAGAACCCCTTAGAAGGCCCCTCTACACAACCTCGATCCACTCACCAACTTAGTCGGCGACTTCCGCGCCCATCTTTTCTGAACCTCGCTGTTCGCGGTGAGCCGGGTGCCCAAGTGCATCAGGAGGGGAGCTGCGCCCTTTTCTGTAGCCTAGACGAAGTAGGGTCTGGATCGAGCAGGGCGTTCGTATGGTTTTGTACGAATGTTGTACTGCTTTAGACCCTTAAGCCCGTAAACCTAAACCCCTAAACCCTAAACCTGGCGTTCTATGGGTTTTCGAAAAGTTGGGTTCTCATAGCGTTTTTTAGGGTTCTTCGACCGGTTGTATAGGGCATAAACAGGGTTCATTAGGGTAGGGTTTGTATGAAGCCTGGTTATTTTAGGGTTTTCGCAGAAAAGCAGTAAGAATGTTAATGAAAGAGATTTGTCACGCTGCGGTCCATTGCCTCACCCCCCAAACCTACAACCGAGAACCCAGAGACTCCAATACCCCTTAATTAAGGAATATACCTTAAATCTTATTAGGGATCCTACTATAATTTAAGGTATATTCCTTAATTAAGGGGTATTGGAGTCTCTGGGAATCCTACGCCCTCATCA